GTGTTGCAAATACAGTAAAATTCACACTAAAACTAAACTGATCTCTTTTAAACTAAATAGTGTACCTGCAATAGGGTCATGGCAATAACAGAGTACATTTGAACCAGAGAACTCACGAAACAGGGTTGCGGCTAATGATAGAGCAGGTGCACGCACATAGTAGCGAGGGCTTCAAAAGAAACACAGTATGATGATGACGCAACTACTTGCAGAACATAATCTATTTATTAAATTGTACGCACTGCAGCTAGTCTGCAATCACCACAAGGTATTAAACGCCGACACTTACTGCACAAAATGCATCTATTGCAGTTATTGAACAATTCCTGCCGTCAGTACCAATATCCTTATGTGATTTTAGCTTTGCCGGCCTAGGGTTGAAGTACGACAACTCCCAGACAGCGCCCAATCATCTCTTCAACTTCAAACGGCTCGTTATACCGTATTTTTGCATTTGATATGATTGTGCTGACAGCCCGTGTGTCGCTTATCTCTCCTTTGAAGCGTAAAAAAATCAATATAATAACCAATTACTTTCGCCCAAAGGAAGATAAGCTAACTGCGCTTTTCGGGGGAAATTTCTAGTACCAGCTTCAGTATAATTATGAATGATTCGTCTGGAAATACAGATATTCTGGTGTGGGTGGGGATATGGTTGAGAGTTTTCTATGTGTATAGGAAAAGGGGGGGGGGGGGTTATAGTTTTTCTCCGTCCCGACAGAAGAAAACATCAAAACCTAAAGACATATCATTATTGTCACTCTAAACGAAGCAGACGACGGATCTCCCTCCTCTTGTACTTCCGCTTCCGGAAGCGTCAAGCGGTTTGGGTTTTATCCCTTTATCTCGTCAAGTTCACGCCATCTTTTGGGCTTTGCGACGTGTGGGCAAGCAAACCAATCGATGTGTTGGCAATCATTGTTCATTATTTATTGATATTAGCCCCGGATTTCATTCTGTGTTCTTTAGGCTGAAATATTTGTTGAATCAGGGCAAAGCTGCGAAATAATTTTTTTTAAAAACTGAAGCGTGAACGTAGGGACAGAACTACGAAAATGTCAGATTTATCCTTTTTAGAAATCGATAGAAGCAGGTATGAAGATGTTAAAGAATTTTTGAAATACTGAAATCTCGCACACCACCCCGTTTCTTTATTTAGAAGTTGTTTTAAATGCATATCTCTTAGTCGATATAAAAAAATGTACATCTGTCATTTTTCAAATTAAGATTGAAAAACGAAAAGAATTTCAACGTTGTTGTTTTGTAGTTGTTGTTGTTGTTTTGTAGTTGTTGTTGTTGTTATTGTTGTTGTTTGGTTGGTTGTGACGTCAATACAATCAAATAATATAATGCATACAATGCATACACCTATACAGTCGTGTTTAATTCATGTACTTATACAGTCGCGTGCTAACACATAGGTATATTCTTCTTCTTCTTCTTCTTCTATCCCGTGGTTGAGGCAACCGTAGAGGCACCACTGCATCTGAAAACCAGCTCTTGCCATCTATTTTTGTCCTCTGCTTTTCTCAGATTGTCACTTTCCTGTCCACTCTGTAATGTTGTCCTCCCATCTCATTCTCTGCCCTCCTCGCTTTCTCTTTCCTTGTACGGTTCCTTGCAGGATTGTTTTGGCAAGTCCTGTGGATCTTGTGACATGCCCATACCATTTTAATTGTTGTCTCTCCACTGTGGTCAATAGATCTTCATGCTGCCCCACTGCGTTGGTGATTCTCTTTCCTACCTCAGTATTTGAAACGTGGTCTTTGTAGGAGATGTCAAGGAGTCTGCGATAACATCTCATCTCTCTCTTTCTCTCTCTCTCTCTCTCTCTCTCTCTCTCTCTCTCTGTGTGTGTGTGTGTGTGTGTCTGTGTCGGATGAGATGGGTGGTTGAAGATGGAGTGGAAGGGTGGGGGGGATGGGGGGGGGGGTGATGTGAGTGACAACCGGTTAGTTCTACAAACCACGATCCGCCCTTGGATATAATGAGGCCAGATAAGATAGGATCTTAGGCCCAACCTCAGGCAGGAAGCAGCTGAAGGATCTGCGGCCCAAACAGCCTTCTCACCAGACTGGGATGTCCATTTACTGACCAAAACTGAGTCGATAGTGCCGTAAACACCTACTCAATCAGTCAAGAAGAAGAAGAAGAAGAAGAAGAAGAAGAAGAAGAAGAAGAAGAAGAAGAAGAAGAAGAAGAAGAAGAAGAAGAAGAAGAAGAAGAAGAAGAAGAAGAAGAAGAAGAAGAAGAAGAAGAGGAAGAGGAAGAGGAAGAGGAAGAGGAAGAGGAAGAGGAAGAAGAAAAAGAAGAAGAAGAAGAAGAAGAAGAAGAAGAAGAAGAAGAAGAAGAAGAAGAAGAAGAAGAAGAAGAAGAAGAAGAAGAAGAAGAAGAAGAAGAAGAAGAAGAAGAAAAAAGAATAGGATGGGGTAAGATAAAATAAGAAAGGGTTTATCTCAATTTAAGGTCGACATTTTGGTTGGTAGGGTCTTATGACGATGCTACCCTTTGTTTCTGCCTGTGTTTTTTTTAGTGGTAACTATTTCATTGTGTTGTTGGGTGCAGGATTTATTGCCTATTTATAGATATATCACTGCGGGTACCACTCTCTTTAAGAGGCAGATGGGAATTGGAGAGCCACAAAACGTACGCGATGAGGAGGGAGAGTGGGTAACAGAGACGAGAGTTAGAAGGAGGGAAAGACAAAAAAGAGAAAATGAGAGAAAGAAAGGGAAATAAAGAAAGAGACACTGGCAAGAGAGAAAGGAATGAGAGAAGGAGAGGGAGAGAGAAAGAGGGAGAGAGAGGGACAGAGAGAGAGAGAGAGAGAGAGAGAGAGAGAGAGAGAGAGAGAGAGAGAGAAAGAGAGAGAGAGAGAAACATGCAAAGGGAAACAGAGGCTCACACATTGACAGACATACACAGGCATACACACGTTCAGATAGACAGAGAGAGAGAGAGAGAGAGAGAGAGAGAGAGAGAGAGAGAGAGAGAGGGGGGGGGGGAAGAAAGAGAGAACGTCACTCACACATTGTCTCAGAAGTGAATAAAAATGACAATGCTGTGTTTCGCCTTGCACCAGTATTGTAAATCGCATGCAATGGTGTTTCGCTCTGAAATGCGCTATGGTATGGCAGTTTTTTTCTGTATCTTTCTGAATTTCGCTTTTCCTCACTGTTTCAGATGAAATGACTTCGTTAAAATCGCAGAATTCACAGTAAACTTCAACTCCTACACATTAAAATCGACTTGAAATGATATATACCCCATTTTTGACGTATCCCACTGTATTGCTAACAGACTATCAACAAAAGCACTCCAGAGGTATGATATTATACTGTAATGGACAATTGTGTCATGACACGGTGAAATCAGACGCTCGTCAATTTCTGGGCATATGGACTCCTTGGAGCACTCTTAAAGCTTGTTTAATTTGTTTTGCCTTTGATTTTTTTTTTTTTTTAAAGGTCATCTGTCTTAATTAGAAATCGAGACATTCTAGATTGAAGGAGATGGGTGCGGCCTGGTGCCAGAGGTAAAATCAGTGAGAAAACGGCCACCAAAGTTTGGTGACTCAGAAAATTTAAATGTCTTTGGAAAGTGTATATTTACATCTTTTGTGTTACATTTATCAACATTTTTCAGTAAAATCCACCAAGAAATGTGTTTTAAGTAGACATAAAAGGTGCCGTTCCAAAACAAAACAAGAATATTTTTTTAAATGCTTAAGAGCAGATAAAATTAAAGGCTGGTTTTCTTTGATGTCATTAATTTTGACGAGCACCTGATTAACCTATATGCCTTGAAATCTTCCAGAAGTCTCACTTCACGAGTGTCATTGACCTATCAGGGACGACTCAGTTCTTGACAGAGTTCAGAATCCATTTTATAACGAATCTACTAATGATTCAATCGGCTGGAAACCAAAACTTTCTTTCAGACATCAGCTGAGACCGTAATTTTCCGTGGTTTTCTCTTTTAAAATAACATAATGGAGAATTAGTCTTATTTGTGAAGGCCAAAAAGTACCCAGCTTAAATTCATTGGTAGTTAATTCATTAGCGCGTTTTACAGGGGAAAGCAAGGTTATAAAAGAAAACCCTTAATGGAGATTTGTGTTTTCATTGCTGATGACGTATTTAGTGCACCCATTTCACCAATGTCTCATGGAAAGACTCAAAGTTGGGGGTTGATTCTTATCGGGTATCCCGGTCTTTTTGCTAGGACGATGTATCCTCTCAGCCCGTGTTATACCTGATGGGGAGGATCAAAGTCCGCATTCTAAATGGTCTATATTGTGTCGAAGGGGAATTAAAATAATAAAATGTAACTTTTACAAATTATGCTGTCTTCACTATTTTCATCGTTTTGCCAACAGGTTCATTTGAATAAATATTATATGCCTAAAAGTAGTAGGTTAGTCTAGATAAATTCTTTGGTTGGTTGTCGGCTGCGTGCATTCCTTTTTTTAACTACATGTCGACCTTCGTGAAAAGACATTAACAAGCAATATGAGTGAGTAAGAGGGGGATTGAGAGAGAGAGAGAGAGAGAGAGAGAGAGAGAGAGAGAGAGAGAGAGAGAGAGAGAGAGAGAGAGAGAGAGAGAGAGAGAGAGAGATAGAGAAATGAATGAGAAACAGGGAATGATACTATGAATACGATTTTATGTATATTATGCATATTTTATTTTGTTGAAGCTGATGAAAAGACACAGTCATTCTCATTGCATGGAGAATGAGTAAAGTGTGTCTCATCTTATGTTAGTATATTTCATCCCATAAGGTCTCTCGCATCACTTTGCCTTATATTGTTTTCTTATCTTATTTTCTCTCATCTCATCTCATCTTATCTTATCATATCTTATCTTATACCTTCCTTCTGTTGCTTTATCGGACTTCACAAAGCCATGCAGAAATAAACCTTCATGATCTGTGACCGTTGCCCGTCTATCTGAAAGTAAATATGTTAGCATTCTTTATTTTTTACCTTCCCTCACCAGGTCCGGACCCTGTGCTTGTAGGCGTGGTGGTTGGGGGCGTGGCTCTCTTCGTTGGGTTTGCACTGGTCACCACGTGGTACATCTGTCGCCGGAAGAAGGGTTTGTCCCTGCTGCCTACTTCCCACTCAGCATCCGGCACATTGGCTACCCTCCGTCCAGGTACTCCTGGATCCATCCCCATCAGTAGAAGCCACCACGAGATCGGATCATCGGGTCCTAAATCTGCACCTCTCCCCCCTAGCGGTAAGAAAAGCGTGTTCCAGATAGCTGACCGTCAGTGGACGCTCCCTACCGTCTCTCAGAGACACCAGAACTTCCAACGCATGCTGTCTCATCGTCTCAACTTGTCTCATATTGAATTCAGTGTGCAAAGTGTGAAGCAGAAAGAGCAGCCCGACTTGGGCGTCATAAAACCAGAACTTTACAAGCAAGCGTCAGTGGACAGTTTACGTTCGGAACATGTCCCGTGCGGTAAGCTCTTCTTTAGTCTACGCTACAGCCAGGAAGAAGCGAGTCTTGTGGTGAACGTGACACGGGCAGAAAATCTTCCGGCCAAAGATTTCTCGGGAACGTCCGACCCCTATGTCAAAGTTTACCTCATGCCAGACAGAAAGACGAAACACCAGACGAAAGTTCACAGAAAGACGTTGAATCCGGAGTTTAACGAGAAGTTTTCCTTTACGGTTCTCTACGAGGATTTGTCGGGGAGGTCCTTGCAGTTCAACATTTACGATTTTGACCGTTTCTCGCGACATGACGTCATAGGTGCCGTGAAGGTGAAGGACATTTTAGGAGAGGGAAGCTTGAGTAAAGAGACGTTCTTCGTGAGGGATATCTACGCCTCACAGCAGGTGAGTACAACAGTGGCATTCGTTTGTTTGTTTGTCTGTTTTATTTTGTTTGTTTTGTCCTTTTGTTTTTGTCCATGTGTTTGGATTACAAAAAGTACACCGACACAGGAATCATCATTCAGTGCTGGGAAAAAGCAAGACAGGTAGGTAGAAATAAAAGAGCGATAATGAAGACGAAGGACCTGCCTAGGCGCCCCTCCCTTCTTCAGGTCTTCCTGACCATGTACCCTTTATATGCAAAAAAGATGAGATAATATTAACTTTCCATTTTTGGTGATTCACATCGAACAATGTAGCGTTCGTAATTCCGACATATATATATAATATATTTCTGTACTTAAGGGGGGGGGCTACACCTGGAGGCTATCTTGCTTATTACGGGACCGAATTTTACCACATTTCACACATATAACAAGCATAGTAAGGAATCTTGAAATCCGCAAATCAAATTTGAGAAAAAAGTTTCGTTTCCATGGATACGCCGCCATATTGGAATTTATTGACATGTCTTACGTAATGAATACCGCACTTATCGCTCATGGAAATTGATTGTTTTTTTGTATGCGTGTTCACAAACATTAGATCTAAATATTTGTATGTTGTTTTTTTCCTAATCGAATTAGAACATTTTTAATGAATTTTTTCCTGAGGTAGCATTCAAGTTTGCGAAAAATCCGTGAAAATCCACATTCCAGACACCACCAACAAAAATCTATTCCATATATCAAAAATTCAACAAAAAATTTTTAGTATTACCTCTTCTCTTCATTCTATGAAAATTTCATGAAGATTGGATGAAAAGTGGTGGAGTTATTCAAAAAAGTATAGAGAAAAGTAGCATTTTGAGAAAACGGCCGATAAAGAAAAATAAAATACTGACTTTATGAGGAAAAGGCGGTTACAAACATGCCCGGTATGGGAAAAAATACGATTTTTGGGGGTTCTTATGCCATGAAATAGTTGTAGGAGAGGCTGAGGAAGCTAAAAATGCCTACAACTCACTCAAATTCCATGATTTTGGGCCGAATTTGGATTTTGGGGGTGTAGCCTCCCCCCCCCCCCCTTATTACATACATATACATACATACATTAATTTATCAACGTTTCTCAGTACGTTATGATTATTACACCAACACGGACAATTTTACTAACACAAAATTGCTCGTTTCTTCTTCTTCTTCTTCTTCTTCTTCTTCTTCTTCTTCTTCTTCTTCTTCTTCTTCTTCTTCTTCTTCTTCTTCTTCTTCTTCTTCTTCTTCTTCATCTTCTTCTTCTTCTTCTTCTTCTTCTCCTTCTCCTTCTCCTCCTTCTCCTTCTCCTTCTCCTTCTCCTTCTCCTTCTCCTTCTCCTTCTCCTTCTTCTTCTTCTTCTTCTTCTTCTTCTTCTTCTTCTTCTTCTTCTTCTTCTTCTTCAAACGCACATCCACGTCACTAGTGCTTAAAGCAGCAGGTCCCCTATGGTCTCGTATATTTTTAGTTCTCCCGGCTTAGGGTTCGGTATATCCTTCTAAGTGCATCGTGCAATGGGCAGGCTTGTAGTAAATTAATTAATGGCTCTTGCATGGCTGCACCTTCCACATTGACCCTGCTCTGTGTCGCTGATCCTGAGCTTCGTGCTGAGGTGGTCTTTCAGTCAGTTATACCATGTTCTGAGTCCGAACAACACAATCTGCTCTTGACTGGGGAGTAGCTTGCAGGGGTCAGTCAATCTGGTTGTAGCGTGGGTGTATTTTCTTCCACTGTGCATTTTGATATTGAACTCTGTTTAGGTGGGTGGCCACATAGGCGTGTATTGCCCAATAAAGCTATTCTGTGACCACATATCTGAGCACAGTGTCACTGACATAAAAGGCTTTACATTACATGTACATGTATTGTAATCCTGGGTTCATTACCTCTTTGAAGACGTAGCAGGGGCATGCGTTTGTTCAGGAGCAGTTTCAGCACATTAAGAGCCATCACACACATAAAAAAATAAGACTTTGTATATTTCATAGTGTGCGTATTGTTGCATGCCTTTTGAATGTTTTGATAAAGTAAAAAAAACAACTAGAGAAAATCTGTTTGAATGGCGATGTTATGCCCCCAAAACAGTACACCTTCATGCGTTGTCAAATGAACAGAATGCAAGCCTGTCAATGTGTTAACCACTGTTGTATTCATAGGTTTTCCCGGAAGCCTAAACCCGAATCTTATAATATTGTGGTGTGCAAGTTTAGTTAGTTACATACGTCGTGTTTTGTTGGTCTGTGGGACAGGTGACCCTCGTTCGAATATCGAGTTTGATATTGGGAGTTGGGAAGTTTTTATTGTTCTTCGTTTGATTGGATCAGATCAGACCCCGCCTCGCCACGTCACGCCACACCACGGCACGCCACGCCACAACATACCACATCACAAAAAAACAACAACACCATAATGCTGCAAAAATTGATCTATTTGTTCGATCAAGTTGTTCTCGTTTTAATCCTTGCTTAAACATTAATTAATAGCAAAAGAGATGGTTTACCTTCTGTCCAAAATTAAACGTACCATTTTTTGGAGATCGCAACAAAAATAAATAAATAACCGGGAAAAAAGTTCATTTGGTTCTAGTCGGGGTTTCACTGCTAATATGCAGGGTGCGAGAAGAGAGAAGCTTCCTTTGGACTATACTCTGCTCTTAATTATAAATACCCTACACACTGATCTTAATTATAAACACCCAGGAATTATTCACTTCTTACAGCGAGTTCCCTTGAAATCTGATAGGAATGTCATTTCATTCTGTTTTCTTCTAGAAATGGCAATAACAGTCTCATTTTAATTAGAACGCATGTAAAAAGTCTTCGGGGGAGGAGGAAGCACATTGGATTGATATGCATGTCAGAAAATTTGTCTGTCATTTGGCGTATTGCGATGAAGGGAACGATGGGAGATGGCTCTGTATATCAAGTGAAATTTCGAAAACAGGAAACGTATCGGATGGTGAAAAACAGCTAAAATGAATTTTCTATTATTTTCAGATAAAATGAGATGTTAATAAACAGACCAGTATTTTCTGTTGGGTCGTGTTAACGTTAGCTGAACAATGATGTATGGACTGGTTTTAGGAGCGGAAAACAAGATCCGTTTACATATATCAACAACCCAATTTCAAAGAAAATTTGGACTAAGGCACCGTCTTGTTTAATACATCTGTCCATCATTTTTACGCCCTATGAGCGGGTGTTTGGAGGGCGCCATAGGCAAGCCCTACTTCTTTTCCATCCTCCCCCCCCCCCCCCCCCCCCCCGTTTTCCTGTCTATCTTACTTTTTCCCCAGCACTAAATAAGCATTATTGTGTCGATGAGCTTCTTTTTACTCAAATTAAAAAACCCAAAAAAACCCCAATCAAATCCGTTTTGTAACGGAGTGAGCTATTGGAGATTGCCCTCTACAGGTTACTGAGCTTGTCATTGTGTCTAACCAGCGCTCAAAGTATAGCGGTTCGATTCTTCACCGTGGCATACAAGCGACTTGAGTTCGATTCCGGAGCGGGATTTTTTTCGGGAGAGGGGGAGGAGGGTATCTAGCGCCTATGTCTGTCTGCTGTAATGTTGTACTCTTTCAGCCACGGTAAACCCATTATAGGCAGGTTCGAAGTTGTGCCAATGGAGAAGTCAAATATTTACAACCAGTCACAATTCTTGGACTCATTTTAACGTCACTTTAAAAACGCTGATTCTATTCCTGATATAGCTAGCTTTGTTTCTACATTTTTTTAGTGTGTTCCATTTTCCCAACCCTGATATCAAAGTTATAAAACAAATTCGATATGATTTATATCGATCGCCCACGACATTTTTCATAATGATAGATAGTTGCTCCGTAATAGATTATGAGAACTCTGACGTAAACACCTTTTATGTTGTTGAATATTTCTGTGTGTGAGGTTCTGTTTTTGCTTCTGCTCATCATGGAACAAATGCCATGTTTTATCCAGGTAATTAGATTTCTATACAAGGGTTTCTATAAGTTTTGCATAACGTCTATGGAGCTTGATAATTAATATCGCGAGTAAGTAGCAGGACGCCTGTTATATAAGGGATAAAAAGCCGTTATTGTTCTCGTGAGATTTTGATTAACGCAATCAATGAATGATTATTCAAGGATATATTATTTTGACTTTTATCCAGTACCTCAGTCTCTGTGTTGGTGTTCTTTATCCTACTCACTTTTGGGTGGCCCTGACGAACGGAGCTGAAACAAAGTACTAACAATCAAGGGCCAACACTCGTGCGCACAAACATAAATAAACGTTCTCAAGTTAGTAGGATTATATTATTCTCTAACAAAGAAACTCACACACACACACACACATACACACACACACACACACACACACACACACATGTACGCACACATACATACACATACCTACTGAAAAGC